ACAAGGGCCCGAGTTCAATATCCGGTTCCGCCAAAAAAAAGAAAAAAAAAAATTTCATACTATAATTTATGGAGGTTTTTTTTTCCACTGAAAGATTAGTGCAAAACTGTATCATAAAGAGTTCATTTAAAATTGGAGAAAAGATGATTGTATCTAAAATTTAGAGGGAATTAACTTGAAATGAATATTGCTGAGTATTAGTTGAAAAATACAAGCTTATTACCCACATTTCTAATGTAAATTGTTTCCCTACACTGTTTTGGTTTTTTTGCAGAACCAGGGATTGAACTCAGGCCCTTGCACTTGCCAGGCAAGTGCTTATTTACTGAGCTATCGCCCCAGCCCCCCACACTGTTAACACTCATTTAATGTTACCATGGTTTGAAGAGGCAGAACATATAAATTACATTTTTTGTCTCAAGATATTAATTTGTATCAGCACAGTCATGTTTTGTAAATCACTTCCAAAATATGGCAGCCAAGTCTGGAGCATCATCAGTCTATTCTGTTTGATGTGCATGTCTATGTATAATGGAAATTATTAAAGCATCCAACTTTGATAAGTATTTATAATAACATTGGAGTAGGGTAAAAGCATGGAATAATTTCATGTAAATCCTATTTCAGTTTTTGCTATTTTAAGAAATAGAAAATTATTATTTAAAATGTGACATGCATGGGCCCGGGGAGATGGCTTAGTAGAATAAGCACTTCCCTGGCAAGCTCAAGGGCCTGAGTTCAATCCCCAGTACTGAAAGAAAAAAAAAATGACATACATATTAAACCACCAAATTTAAACTACTTGAGCTGATTTTTTCCCTTAGAAATGATAAGGACTAGGGCCAGGGAAATAGCTCAGTAGAATAAGCACTTGCCTGGCAAGCGCAAGGTCCTGAGTTCAATCCCCGGTTCCACAAAAATGAAAGAAAGAGAAAGAAGGAAAGAAAGAAAATAAAAAGAAATGATAAAGACTTCTCATGGTAGAAAAGTTAGTTTATTTTCATTTTTATTTTTATGTATTTGGTACAGGGTCTCACTATGCAGCTCGGACTCATAGTGATCCTGTTTGCAGACGCCCCAGCGCTGGGATTACAGGTGTGCACCATCACGCCCGGATTTGGTGGCCTGCTCCCTGCACCCTGGGATGGGGCTGGCACAACATGTGGTGCCAAGAATTTTTATTTAAGGTTATGAAGTTTTTCAGATTTTTAGAAAATTACAGAGAATAATACCATATACAAATACTAATATTTTGATAGACAAAATTTTTTTTAAACAGATGTCACTGTGCAGTTCAGGCTGGCCTTGAACTCACTTTGTAGCCCAGCGGGGCCTTGGACTCAGAGTGATCCTTCTGTGTCAGTCTCCAGGGTGCACCACTGCAGCTGGTTTATGCCAAATTTTAAATAGAATGAAGCTGAGTGTAGGCTCTGTAGGGAGCCTGTGAGCTTGGCAGTAAGAAAAATGATCGAGCTGTTATAGCTGCCCCACAGCTACCTAAAATCAGATAATAAAAGCTGGCTGATTTCCCAGATAAGGAAGGTGAGAAAAGCACTGTGTATGGAGATGTGAAGTAATTCAGCAAAATAAAATGCCTGAAATCTTTAAATATGAGGGCCCCATTTTCTGAAAAGTGAAACTTCCTTTATCTGAATTAGTTATTCTCCCAAGCAAATGTGCTTATTCACCAGAGCTAATTTCCAAGGGTGGGAGATCCGGAAGGAGGCAGGACTGGCACAGCCTGAGTGGGACCCGGCGTGTGGGTGGATCCTGCAGACTCGAGCTGCGAGGTGTTCCCAAGCCAGCTGGCGCTGAGAGATTTTGTGGGTGTCTGATTTTCTGAATACGCTTCTTTTTTTTGTAAATGCATTTGGTACAGGGTCGATAAGGGCTACACTGTGTAGACCAGACTCCTAGTGATCCTCCTGTTCTCAGCCTCCCAAATGCTGGGATTACAGGCGTGTGCCACTGTGCCCAGTCTCAGTCGCCCTCTCCATGTGCCCTGGGGGCAGGACTGGCACGGCAAGTCGGGCATCAAACCCCGGCCACTGCGCTCTGCCTAAGCAAGTGCTTTATTCTGCTGAGCTATCAGGTTGGCCCTTGAATACACTTCTATAATAAAGGAAAAGTATGTTTGTTGTAAAAAATACAAATGAGTATAAAGAAGAAAAATAAGTAGCTGTAACAGCACTGTTAACGTTTTATTCCGTATACTTCCTGTGATTTGGAAATTTATCCATGTACGTGATTCCTATAAAAATGACAGATAGTGTTTTTTTAAAATTTTATTTGTTTATTTATGTGTGTGTGTGTGTGTGTGTGTGTGTGTGTGTGGCCAGTTCAGCCCACCAGGGGGCGGGGCTGGCTGGCATGTGGTGCTGGGGGATTGAACCGCGGTCCCTGTGCTTTGCTAACCTTGTTCTAAGTAGGTGCTTTAGACCACTGAGCCATCTCACCAGCCCCCAGATAGTGTTTTGTAGCCTACTTTTGCTACTTAATATTTTGAAGAACATGTATCAATGTCATAAATGTCTTCACTTCTTGTTTCTAATGGTGCTCATGGCTATATGTACCTTAGTACATAGTCATACCATCTTTCAGGTACTTCAGCCTTTAGATTGATTTTTTTTAGAGTTTTTTTGTTTGGTTGGTTGGCTCTTGTTTTTTATTTGTTATCACAAAAAATACTATAATGAACACCCTTGTAGTGATCACTGCAATATATATAAGCTTTGGGACAAATTCTTAGAAGTGGAAAAGTCAAAGGGACATATACTGTAGAAGGTGAATATTTTATAGTGAATATTACCAAGTTGGCCTTCAGAAAATTGGACTGAAGTCCTCCTGTGTTACTATTTTTCCTTTAAAGAATAACTAGTAGAATTGTTGTACAAACTTATATAAAAAGTCAGGATGGTTATATTTATGTTCAAGGCAATATGATTTATTTTTTTATAGGGTCACAAGATGCTGCTCATGACCTGGATGTACTGAAAAAGCACAAGGTAAAGGAAGACAGCTTCAAGTCTGGTACCACATATAGAAATATTTTAATTGTTACAGATTTATTTAGGAAAAATTGTATCCGTCCATCTTTGGTGTATTTCAGTTAAGAGAACATTTTGGCTGTCATTTGAATAAAGCTGAAAAGTTACTAAAATTCAAAGATCTGCATCTGTCACCCCTCTTTTGAGGTTTACATTCTTCTCGAGTCTCTTTCCCAGAACCTCATAAACCCGAACTTAGAGTTTCCTCTGTGTGGGGTGAGAGTTCTTGCATCTCTCCTTGTCAAAGAGTTTTAGGGTTTAGATCTCAAATGTCCCCAGAAGTCACATGCTTTCAGAGCTGGGGCTCTCGAAGGTGGCTGGATCACGGTACGCTGTGTTCATCGCTGTATCAAACCGTGACAGTTGCTGAGTTCCTAGCTGAGTGTGTCCTTGGGAGGTGGGATCTGGCGGAGGTGGTGGGTCACCTTTGGGGCACGCGCCCTGCTCTGTCTTTGTCCTTGTTCTCTGCTTCCTGCGTGCCCCGAGTTGAGCATTTGTCCTCCATTGTGCCCTTCCACTGTGACATGTCTGCCCTAGAGCCAGCTGACTATGGATTGAAACCTGTGAAATCCTGAACCGCTCGTAAGTTATGCGTGTCTGCTGTGTTATGCCAGTGAAGGCAAGATGACCAATGTAAAGAGCCACTGCTGCCTTCAGCTCCAACTTGCATGCCACCTCCACACTAACACCATTTCCTTCTTCCTTTACACAACTGTTGCCATTTATTACTTATTTATATTATTTACTCAAAAGGATCTTTGGCCATCTGTCATTATATCAAGCAGGTCATGTTTCAGGTCTTGGAACTGCGGTGGCTTGTGGAGTGTAAGAGATTGCTATTTACCTGAAGCTCCTGCTCTGACGGACAGAGACAAGTGAGATGCAGCACATCATATTGTGTGCTTTGATGGGGAAGTGCAGGGTGCTAGAAGAGTACCTAGAGGGGTGTGCAGTTAGCCATGCTTGTCTTGTTTTGTTTGGGAATAGGAGAGTCAAGGAAGGGCTCCTGGAGGAAATGATAGGGACATTTTGCTCTGAAGATCGGGGAAAAGAGCAGCCATAAAAGTGTTCAGATGGGAGAATTGGCATATGTGAAGGTCCAGAGTAAGGAAAAGACTAATGATTCCAGAGATGGAAAGGGTCAGTAACCCTGGAATTGAGTGTGAGAAAGCGGGATACCCAGGCACACGCTTCAGAGGTAAGCGTGAGCCAGATCAGAAGGCCATGTAAGCTAGATTGAATTATTTGGACTTCTTCCAAAACACAATCAAAAGCCAATGAAAAGCTTTACTCAGGGAAGTAGCAGGATCAAATCTACATCTTCAAAAATGTTGCTCATTAGAGGCAGAGTGGAAAATACATTGCAAGTTTGCTCAAATTAGAGACAGAGAGACCAGTTTTGAGACCACTGCACAATTTAAGGATATGTAGTTATCTAAAAGAAGATGATTGTGTAGATTAAGGGGTGGGGGAATAGAGAAAGGTGAATGGATTTGAAGGGCTTTTAGAGGGGTTGGAGAAGGTGAGGCTGAGAGTAGAGGAGGCACGACTGATCACTAGCTTTCTTTGGAAGCTAAGTAGGGATGGTACACTTCTGTGAGATAGGGAACAAAGTAAGAGAAAGATGATTTTGAGGAAAAACCAGGAGGTCCGTTTTATTTTATACTAAGGATTGAACCTAGGGGCTTATGCCAAGCTATATCCTTAGCCCTTTAGTCTTTATTCATTTTTTAAAAAAGCTTGGAGACAGGGTTTTGCTAAGTCACTGAGTTGTCTAGGGCTTGAGCCAGTGATCCTATTTTTATTTATTTATTTATTTATTTATTTATTTATTTATTTTTGGAACTGGGGATTGAACTCAGGCCCTTGCACTTGCCAGGGAAGCGATTATTCCACTGAGCCATCTCCCCAGCCCTAAGCCAGTGATCCTATTGCCTCAGCCTTCAGCCCATTTGAAATTTTGGGTGCCTAGGGTCATCTAGGTGAAACTGTTCAGAAGACAGTGTGAATGTATGGGATCTGAAGCTCAGGAGAGAGGTAATATATAGATTTAGAAATATTTGGCTTATGAAGAGTGATTACAATTGCTGGAGTAGGTTAAATCATCTCGGGGAAGGCCGAAGTTGAATAAAGGAGTGACCTGTGACAGCTCTGTTGCACCCTGTAGTTGAGTAATACCAATCTGTAATGAAGGATTGAAGGAGGAATCTGGAGGGGCAAAGAGAAGCTAAGAATATGAAGGTTAGAAATAGATTTCATGAACACCAACATAAGGGAATATTTTAAGGAAGGAAGCGTCAGCAGTGTCAGATGCTGGGAAAGTTTAGGACTAAAGTCACATCTATTGAACTTTGTGATGGAGAAGTTTAGTGCTTGCGATAAGACCTAATTTCATCTGAATTGCAGGCCAAAGTCAGGTCTCAGGAGAGTGAGAAGGCCAAAAACAGTGAGGAATGATGGTAGCAAAAGGGAAGAAAATGGAGAGGAACCATAAGTGATGCTGAGATCAAGGGAGGAAAAAGGGGAAGTTTTGAGTGTGTTTTAAGGTTAAGGGTAAAAGAAGAAATTGATGCAGAAAAGGAGTGATAGAGTGATGGAAGTGCCAAGACAGCTGGGGCAGTGATCCCAGGCACAGATGCTGGCATGAGCATCTAAAAGGATGTATGACCAACGTCGTTCATTGCAGGAATGAATGGAAGACCAGGAAGGGGTGGGTGCGGGTGTGGGGGAGGCAGTTAGATGGGATGGGAGGCTTTGCAGGTTCTTATACGATGGCCTCACATTTTACTATGCAATAGGAAGTGGCATAGTTTTCTGGGAATAAGGAAGAGTTGAAAGTTCTTAGGACTTTGGGGAATGTTTGAAAGAGCTAATTATGGAGAACGAGGGCCAGAAACACGCAGTTGCTCAGTGCTGGCAAGAGAGGTTTGCTGTCATTACTCTAGGTAATGTACAATATGCGACGCTGTGTGTCTTTTCTCCAGCAGTGCTCAGTAGTCTGGGTGCAGAATGATAGGCAGAGGTAGGGAGAGTGGACTATCGTTATAAACTGAATAGAAATGCAAATGGTGGACCGTGGCCTATAGGGTAAAGGGGAAAAGGATTGAAGACAAGAGGGGGCTTTCAGATAAGACAGTAGAGAGGACAGAGACTGTTAGTCTGTATGAGGTTTCGTGGGAGAAACTGAGTGAAAGAGCTGGAAAGACAAAAGCAGAATGCGTCAGGTAATACTGTGAGGTGAGGCAGCCCTGGCATTGGCCTTGGGGGAAGGTAACTGAAGGGGAGTGGTGACGTCATTAGAGCTAAGCGGGGCTCGCGGCTTAGATGGATGGTGCTATCATCCAGCATTCGGGTGGAGTTAGGGCCAGCTCCGCAAGCAGAGATGCACTAAAGCCAAAGTGGGTAGAAGGTGCAACATCCAGTGTATATAAACTCTGAGCAAGGACTCTTCTGGAAGGATGGAAAAGAAGGGGTTTGGAAGGAGGAGCAACTCTGACTTTCCCATGAGCAAATAGGACCTGTGAAAAGGAGGAGTCTCACCTGGAACTAACTTGGTAACTTTGTGTCTTGCTCATTTATCTGTTCAGAAAATATTAAGCACACCTGCTTTGTTCTTGTTGCCTTTCTAAGTGCAGGGGATACAGAGGTCACTGATAGGAAAGTCCTTGTTCTTAAAACATGGTGCTCTCAGATAAGAATTTCTTTTCTAAAAGAAGCAAAACAAGGCAAGGAGAGGAGTTTCAGGGAGAGCTGTGAATTGAGCTGGGCCCCTCAGAGGGTGAGACATTTCACCTGGGACCTTGTGACAGTGGGCCAGGACTTAGGTGGATGTCAAGGCTCTGACGACAGCAAGTTCAGTAATCTGTTCCTCCCCCCCCCCCCCCCCTGCTTTTTTTTAATGTATTGGGGATCAAACCCAGGGCCTTGTGCATGCAAGGCCAGGGTTCTACTGCTGAGCCACATCCCTAGCCCTGTTCCTCTGTTTTAGTACCATGATGCTTCATTCTTCTACCTCATCCATCCTTCCTTCCTTCCTTCCTTCCTTCCTTCCTTCCTTCCTTCCTTCCCCTTTGTTTTTTTTTGTAGCACCAGGAGTTGAATTCAAGACTGTGCTTGCCAGGCAGGTGATTATGCAACTGAGCTATATCCCCAGCTCTTTTAGCTTTTAATACTTTGTGCATTATATTTATTATTATTATTAATAATGTATTTGGTACAGGGTCTCATTATGCAGCTCAGACTTTTAGTGCTCCTCCTTTCTCAGTCTCCCCAGTGCTAGGATTATAGGCGTGTGCTACCGTGTCCAGTCTCAGTGGTCAGCTCAGCAAGCCTGGGGGCAAGGCCAGCATGGTACAGGAAGCTGAGCTTGCCTAAGCAGACGCTTAGTCCTCTGAGCTATCTTCCTGCCCCCTTACATTATTATTATAAGCAGTGAATATGTTTTCCTCCTTCTTTGTTATTTAACAAATGTCTAGAGAATAAAGTCTTTGTTCTGTTTTCTTTTCACCCACAGCTCTGAGAAAAAAAATGATTTGATTTGAAGATAAAAAAATTTAGGTGATCAATACTTGCAGTGATTTCTTCAAGGATTTGTGTTAATCTGGATTCTCCTTGGTTTATTTTACTTGAGATTACCACTTGACAATGAGAAATAATGGCTTAAGTTATGTAAAATTATGAGAATTTCTATATATTCTAACAGGAACACTTGTATATTAATATTTCAAAAAACCAGAACAAGTGTCAGTGTCTTGCTTTTACCCACAAATTAATATTCTTCGGGTGAGTATTTTGTCTCTTCACCCACTTGACTTGGCAGGTAGTGTTATCTCTGCCTCTTATGATACAGCCTCATCTGGTGACATGGAGAAGGATACAGTTAGAATGATCGTGCTGCCTTTGCACACTGATTGCTACTCATGCCTGGAGGGAGCGTGTAGAGACTTTATCGAACAACTTATGGATGTCTCAAACCAAATTATTGATTTAAATGTATGGCACAATTCAAAGCCTGTTGTAGGATTCAAGCAAAGTGGCATAAATAGAAGTGCCCTTGCGGAGTGCCACTTCAGAAATTTCTTTTTTAAAACATTTCCATTTGTACATGTTTGCAGCACATAATAAATGCATTCATTATGGGGAGTTGGTACGTGTGCATAACACATGCCCCTCATTTTCCTTCCCCCCTTCTCCCCTCTCTACATCCCCTCTGAAATGTCTATGGAGATTTAATTTTAGTGTTCAGGAATGAAAATAATGGCTGCATTATTAATAAGGTTATTAAAAAGGTTCCCCATGAATACCTGGTGTGTGCCTAGGAAAGAACTTGGAAAATGGAACTAAAAGTAATATATAATGTATTCCAAATTAAAATTGCAACATTTTTCATAATGACAAATTATTGAAAACAACCCTCCTGTATATCAGTAGGGAACTGGTTAAATAATAGACAGTAGTCAACCCATACTGTAGCATATTATCTAGGGGTAAAAGGTTCTCTGTATACTAACATGAATAGATCTTCAGGACCTATTTAAATAGGGGCATCCAGTGTCCTTTGTGTAAGAAAGTCAATAAATAAGGTAGCACACAGGTGTCATTCTCAGTATTTATTGTGGGAGGCTGAGCAGGACCATTGCAAGTTTGAGCCTAGCCTGGGCAATCAGCAACGTAGCAAGACTTTGCCTCTGAATAAAAGACAAAGGACTGAGGGTGTCATTGAAAAACATGATGCATGTTTAAATTTTTTTACAATAAGACATTGACATTAATCCCACACAAAAATATTCATGCCTTCCTTTGAAAATATTTATACTATTTTGCTCTTGATACTTTTTAAAAAAATTTTATGTAGTTGGTACAGAGTTTCACTATGCAGCTCAGCCTCAGCTCAGACTTTTTTTTTAAATTATTTATTTATTTGTGTGTGTGTGTGTGTGTGTGTGGCCAGCTCAGCTCACCAGGGAGTGGGGCGGGCTGGCATGTGGTGTTGGGGATTGAACCGCGGTCCCTGTGCTTTGCTTAGCTTAGCTTGTTCTAAGTAGGTGCTTTAGACCACTGAGCCATCTCACCAGCCCCTTAATGGCAGAAGTGTTTTTTTTTTTTTTTTTTGCGCCGAATGCCTTCAAGGCATGACTGGCTGTCTTGTGTTGTGGGGATCGAACCACAGCAACCTAAGCCTGACTGCTTTGTTGAAGCAGCCACTTAAAGAACTGAGCTAAGGGGCAGGCCCCCCTCAGCTCAGACTTGTAGTGATCCTCCTGTTTTTAGCTTCCCCAGCACTGGGATTAGAGGTGTGCACCTCCACGCCCAATCTTGGGAGTCCAGATCATGAGCCCAGAGGCAGAACCAGCATGGCATGAGGTACTGGGAATTGAACCCTGGTCCCTTGTGCTTGCTTAAGCAGGCACTTAGTCTTCTGAGCTATCTGCCTGGCCCTTGAACTATTCGTTTGTTTGTTTGTTTGTTTTTGGTGGAACCAGGGATTGAACTCAGGCCCTTGCGCTTGCCAGGCCAGCGCTTATTCTACTGAGCTATCTCCCCAGCCCCTGGACTATTTATTCTTACCGTCTTTTCTGTCTCCCAGTCTCAGGACAAGTATTGTTAGTATGATTAAGCTTTGGCAAGTGTGTTTTATTACTAGAAAGGTTTTAGTTTGCATTCTTCATTACCACTACTGCCTGTGACTCAGTGCAATTCTTGTTAGTTAGGGCCATTCAGCCAACACATGTGTATTGCCTCCAAACAGTGAAACCACCTAGGCATTGGGTGGTTTGCAAAATCCATAATATTTGTAACATACTCTTACCTGTGAGTGTGTTTCTCCAAGATTCTCTTCTCCACAATCCTATAATTTATAGGGAAGATGTGCAGGGAAATAATAAATTCTTTAAGTAGTATGACCTCATTTCTATTTTTATTTTTTTTATTTTTATTTTTATTTTTTTTTGTGGAACCGGGGATTGAACTCAGATCCTTGCATTTGCCAGTCAAGCGCATATCCTACTGAGCCATCTCCCTGGCCCCAGTATGACCTCATTTCTGATCTTTTCTTGGAATATAGATATGGTTGTGAAGGCAAAGCAAACACAGAAGCATTTTTTTTCACCAAAACAACTTTTATTTCCAGTGTTTAATTGGGTATGCACACAGGCATGACACAGGTTTGGATTCAGTAAGTTCTCATGCAGAATTGTATTCTTATAAAAAGGCCAGTTCCATCCAGGCCTACTATCTACACACCTATGTTACAACATTTATATCAAATCTGGTATCTGAAGAAAAGATACACATATCATATGTTCATTTAAGTTACGAATTTTACAGAGAGATTAAAAATTCAAGTCACACAAAACTCAAAAACTGTATTGAAAGTTTGGATATAAAACTCAGTCCACCTGGAATGACTAAAGAATGGAAGTTCTATATCCACCTATGTTAAAACTGGTAAATGTAATGAAATTTACCAATAAAATGCATTTGTTTATTTGGTGTAAGTTTATCTAATTTTAACAATATGGCACCCTAAAAATCAAATGGAGCACAGAATGATTAGAGAAGATAGAAAGGTATCGTGAGTAAGATGTAGAAGTAAGGGCAGAATCATACCGTCTAGCTGAATACACTGAAGACAAGCGAGAGCACATGTAGGTAAAACGTCCCTGGGGAAAGCAGAAAGCTGGTTCAGACTTTGTCATCTAAGGATGCAGATACTCTCTTTCCTTCCTACTTTCTCCAAACCCTTCTTTTTAAGGAGTCTCTCATATGTGGACTTTTTTTCTTTTGGGCACAGGGAATCAAATTCAGGGTGTCGCACTTGCCAGGCTGGTGCTGTGCTGTTGAGCTAGAGCACTGGTCCTTACGTAGACATTTGAAGTGTTTCTGTTGATGCTGTTGTCTTTCTCCCACAAGGGAGGTAGGACAGCAAGTGACTGGGGCTCTCTGTCTGTACCTGTCCCACTGTGTGCCTTAGTCACTGACCTTTTGGTAATGAGCCACACTAACCGATTTGAGCAGACTGAGCAAGGAGAGCGAATGTGTGTAACTCTTCAGGGCGCTCTGTGAGCCCCAGGGCAGGGGGTGGCCATGGTCCCTTAGAGACTTGAACCCAGCCTGGCCAGGCAGGGAGGTCCTCCGGAATGGCCGCTGTCCCCAGCCCACTGTTCCTGAGCGCACGGATCTCACGGCACAGCAGATCCTGTTCCGTTTCTCTGAGGATGGTACTTTGGGAAATAGCTGTCTTAAAATTCTCAAAGTTTGTGTGTGGATCACTCTTATCTGTGTTTCAGTGCTGATTTTAAAGTTTCTCAGGATTACCTGAGCAGCATATCTGTAGCTGTCTATCCAAATCCATTCAGCTCTGTAGGAGACGGGGGTGGGACACAACCAGGGCCCTACGTGTGAGGGTAGCAGGGCTGGACAGACACCGAGATACATGGCAGTTCATGGAAATTTGGGGGTGAGGCAAAACCCAAGACCCATGCTAAGAATAAATACCGTGAGAAGTATTGTCATGGCAAGAAAGAACGATCTGCTTCTCAGCTCCATTTACCCTTTGGATTCTCTTAACGACCTCTCCACTAGGAAAGGGGCTCAGTCACAGGTAGTACAGCACTGGGATGAAAATCTTTCTCAATCTACCCCCGCTTTTCAGCCAGACTAATTGATTAGAATCTCTGGAACGGAGACCCCTGGCATTGGTAGTATTTTAAAGCTCACCAGGTAATTCCAGGGTGCAGCTGCATTTCAGAACCATTTCACTGGATTAAAAAAAAAAAAAAAAAAGGAAAATAGGGAAGTAATTATTATTATTATTATTTTTGTGTGTGTGTGTGCAGGGTCTCCCTACACAGCCCAGACTCATATTGATCCTCCTGATTTCTGCCTCCCAAGTGCTGGGATTACGGGCGAGCGCCACCATGCCCAGACTCCACCACTGGCTCAGCACACCCAAGAGCAGGGCCAGCACAGCATGCAGAGCCAGGGATCAAACCCAGGCCCCTGCGCTTACCTAAGCAAGTGCATAGTCCACTGAGCTGTACCACCGACTCTGGGTAGTAATTATTGAAAGGGTAGTTGTGTGCTATTGAAACACTTTCCCTGCTTAAGTTTTTATATGTGTATCCACTGATTTATATGGCAGAGACTTAAGTATTGACGCTAAACTCACTGTTCACTCAAGGGTTTACTCATAAGGGAAAGGTCAGCAGTGTCCCCACCCTGATGGATTTGCAGGTCATAAGCTCCAAGGGGGAGGAGCAAGTGGAGTGCTAGAAGGAGCACTTCTGAGGATGAGGCGGAGAAGCGCCTCGGAAGAAGAATCATGCAAGTGAAGCACATTGAAATTTTTCATCATTTGTGTCATAGGTATTGCGTCATACTCTCTTTTAGGAAACCAAATTCGTGAGACGTTTGAAAAGTCATCTTTTTGGTTCTTTTTCATTTTCTTTAAGGTGACTCATATTCTCAACCTTGCATATGGAGTTGAAAATGCTTTCCCCAGTGAGTTCACCTATAAGAGTATTTCCATACTGGATCTGCCTGAAACCAGTATCCTGTCTTACTTTCCAGAGTGTTTTGAATTTATTGAACAAGCAAAAATGAAGGTAAGTTTATTCTGTTCTACCGTTTTTCACAAGCGGAAAGTTGAAAATATGGGTCTTCTCTTCAATCTTTATTCTTTTTTTGCAGTGAATCTTTGAAGAGACATTATAAAAGAAAGTTTCCAACAATATCTATTCATTCTTTTATTTTAAATTGCTTTTTTTTTTCCCAAAGAGATACTTGCTTTTCATCTTAGTTTAGTTTTTTATCTTAAAGATTATTGAGGTATTTTAGGAGATAAAATTCTCTACTTACTGAATTTTTCTGTGTAAAAATGTATTTAGATTTCCTTTAAAGGTTTTATAATAATAATAATGGTGTCTGAGTAGCATGCACAGTAACCTGTGAACTACATGACGGAGATGGCTCTGGTCTTGTTAGTGTGTTTACAATGATGAATATGCCTTCATTTTATTGGCTGAGGTGGGGATTATGTGTGTGTGCATTTTTAACAGAATTTTAAGGCATTTTAGGGTCTAAATGTGCTTTGCTCTACTGAGATTATCCCTTACTTTTTTTTTTTTGCGGAACTGGGGATTGAACTCAGGCCCTTGCACTTGCCAGGGAAGTGCTTATTCCACTGAGCCATCTCCCTGGCCCAAGATTATCCCTTACTTTTGTGACTTTGTTTAAAAGGTATGAAAATGCCTATAGGGGCCATTGCTTTTGTGATTTTAGAAGATCAACAGAAGCTGAACACAGCTGTAATCCCAGCACTCTGGCAGCTGATTGATGCAGGAGGATTGTTGTAGGTTAGAGGTCAGCTTGGGCTGTATAGTGAGTTCAAGGCCACCCTGCTCTACACAGAAAAATCTGGTCTCAAAAAATGACCAATAGATATTATAATTTTTTTTTTTTTTTGAGACAGGGTTTTCTTACATCATGCAGGTTGGCCTGGAATTCATAGTGACCCTCCTTTCTCAGTCTCCCGATAATATTTCAATCTTGGTATAAGATCCAACTCAACATTCTGACAAACAGGGCTTCTAGTTTTGGTATTATCACAGGTTATACCTTGAAATGGCATCATTTTTAGTCATCAAATAATTATTACAGATTTTACATCAGATATATGAATAGGAAAACTGCTCTGGAGCACTGAACAATGGTAGGATTAGAAATGTAAGTGTGTTGTGGTCCAATGGTTTTCTTTTTCCTTTTTAAATTATTTTATTTTATTTTACTTTTTGTGGAGCTGGGGAATTGACCTCAGACCCTTGCTCTTGTCAGGCAAGCACTTATTCTACTGAGCCATTTCCCCAGCCCTTCAATGGTTTTCTTTGTATCCTCCTCTTTTTCTTCCCCCTTTCCTTTCTCCCTTCTTTTCATCTGATAATGTCTACTGAATGTTCTATGTACGTAGCATAGCTCTAGGTCCTTTCTCGGTAGACTACCCTGAAAACATAAAACTAATCAATTTTTCTGTTTTTTATCCTTATTTAAAAACAGATATTTGGATGGAGGCAAAATAAGAGATTTTCTAATTCAAAGTCAGATATTGGCCGTCCTGTTCTCTTCTAAAATTTTTTATAGGGTGTGCATTAGAGATTCCATTGTGCTAATAGTGTTAAAAATGAAGATGACATTTCTGTGCTAGCTGCTTCTCAAAGGACATTAGAATGCGCCTCTGATGGTAATGTATATGACTCAGTTACTTTTCTCTCGTTGCTGGGACAAAACACCCGATACCCAAAATGAAAGAAGGAAAAGTTTATTTAGCTCACAGTTACTGGAGGTTTCAGTCCATACTCAGCAGGCTCCAAGGCAGACTGGCATATGGCAGAGGGCAGCAGTTCATGGCGGCAGAAGGCAGCAACATACCAAGAGCAAAATGGAGTAGTAGCAGCAACAATGGCTACAGAGAGGAAGTTTGTCTCTCTTAAATTGCAATCAGGCTATCCGCCCCAGGATAGGGGAAAGTACCCACACTCATAATCCCAGCAGTACTAAGACCCATAATCCCAGTGGATCATCAGTTAATCTCAAACTCTAGAAGTCCCTGCCCCATGACTGTATGAGACTTTGAGGGGCAACTAGATGCAAACCATAACAGTATGTATCATCCATGTTCATATTAAAATCAGAAAGAATGTATGTGTTGTAAAAATTGGACAGGGTAATAATTTCTAAAAAGAAACGCAAGAAATTGAGTATTCTAATAAGCTTTGGGATTAAAAAAATTTTAAGTAGAAAGTGTCTTAATTTGGACCAGTAAGTGATTAGTATGCTTCGTAGCTTATTTTGATTTTTCTTTCTTGCTTGCTTTCTTTCCTAGGCAAATGCTCACACATAGAATACCTGCTGGCCTTTAGTTTAAATTTCTTTAAATATATCCTCAGGCAAAGATTATGAGTTTGGGCTTCCTTGGAGAGGTAAAATCCCTAAGCAGTGAGTGAGAAGAAAGGAAGATGATTCTTGGTCGGAGGAGAAGCAAGGCGGGATGATGTGTTTCCCTTGCTGAGGACAATTTGGCAATGAACTAACAAAGAAATAACTGGGGGTGAAGTCATCTCTGACAGGTGATACAAAGCAAGTGTCCGTTATCCACCTGGCTCTGTCAGCTCTTTTCTTTTAGGAAGCTCTTCTGGACCTCTCTGCAGTCCAGATTTCTAATCCCAGGAAAAATCACTGGAACTCTAGTGAGCTAATTCCAGTCTACCACTTGCAGTGCAACCCGTGGTGAGACTAAAGACACAAATACATATGTATAATGGTGGGGAGCCAAGGGACTCCTGAAAGTCCAGTTAGAATAATGGCTAACTGGAAGAAAGGCCTCAACCCAGGGCCAAACTTGGGTTTTATTCCTTCCTGAAGAAGGGAGTGGTTCAGGAATGAGTGACTGAAAGAAAGGTGGAAAGTACGTGAGTGCGGTGAGCTGGGCTAGGTAGGGGGCCTGATAGTACCTCTGTGATAGGGACACAGACAGACAGACAGCATGAGGTGCATCTCACAGATTGAGTAAGTATCTCATGTTCAGGGGTCACGGCCTTGACTTTCATGTGTGGTCTTCATGCCCAGTTGATGTCAGATTCTTTTTCAAGCCTCCACTCAGCTGACACTAGCTCATGTGTGCTACTTGGGGGCTGTAGACCCGGCATTACTGACCTCTCCACCACTTTAAAGACTACACATCAGCATCTCAGCTGGACCCATTTGCATTGTTGAAAGCCAATTGAGGGAATAAACAAATATGCTAGGCTAGGGAGATAGCTCAGTGGTCTACGCACCTGTCTGGCAAGAGCAAGGACCTGGGTTCAGCCCTGGTACTGCATACCATGCCTGCTGCTGAACCCCAGGCGCGCTGTGCTGGTCACCAAAACTGAGCATGGTGGCACATGCCTGTAATCCCAGTGCTGGGGAGGCTGAGACAGGAGGATCATTGTGAATCTGAGCTGTGTAGTGAAACCCTGTACTAATTAATCAATCAATTAATTAAAAAATATCCTGGCCAGCTTTGTACATGTCAATACATGGAAATAGGGCCAGGTTTAGCCAACAAGGAGACAGATTCTCTTCTTTCAAAGATAGCCATCCTGGCATCCACCACAGTTTCTCGAGGATCACAGCTTGCCAGCTTGCAGCACCTCACCCCTCCATTCTGGTTATCACATTGCTCTCCTCAGCAGTGGCTTCATAGCCACATGGAACACTCACCAATTTGACTTTCTGTCCAAGACCAGAAATAGAAGAGGACCCAGAAATCAAGCCATGTCCGTCTTATGCTGTGTGGGCCCCACAGAGTGAGGAGTAGGCCTCAGACCAGCCCGATGGGATAGACCGAAGGGGAGGAGTCAGCCATGGAGGTGGCAGGCACGACAGCATCCACTGAGCTGATGGCACCAGAGCATCTGAGCAGTCACGTAGGCTACCGGATGTACTGGAATTCTATGATATGCTCTGATTTCTCCAGCTCTCTGATTTGTACTGGCATGCTAAGCCATTATTTTTTTGGCCTGCAGAGTTTTTATTCCTTAGATTAGTAATTGTTTAATTTTAGCAATAGCATCTAAATGTTTAGTTTAGGGGCTGGGGAGATGGCTCAGTGGAATAAGCGCTTCCCTGGCAAGCGCAAGGATCTGAGTTCAATCCCAGGTTCTGCAAAAAAATAAATAAAT